AGGGTCAAAGGGGATTTGATTGAGGTGTTTAAGATTATTAAGGTCTTGATAATACAGATCCATCAAACTTTTTTTGTGTGTTTAGCAGTGAAAACAATAGGACAAGGAGTCATAAATTCAAATTTTGGCAGCAAAGGATTCGTCTACAGCTTAAACAGTATTACTTTTCAGACAGGGTGACTGGCTTTTGGAATGAGGTGGTGGAAGCAGAATATTTAATGGAGTTCAATAAAAGATTGGATGAATACATGAGTACTAAGGGATGGATATAGTTTGGAACTGGAAGGGACATCCTTAATGGGCTAATAAGCTCATTTATGTCCCTTTAAAATGTTATGAATTTATGAAAATAAATAAGCTTGAATGATAAAGATATTATTTGTTAGCTTATATATATATTAATTTTATTAAAATTTCAAAAAATTGTGTTAATGAATTTCCATTATTTTTGTTTTATATATCACAATATATTATTTTACCAACTTAAAATGCTAGGTATATAAGAATAGAATGAAATATATCTTCACTATCCAAACCATAATTAGACTATGCAAATTATTTTTATTTTAATCCTTTTCTTCTTTCATCCATCTTTAAGTTAGAATTATACACCTTTAATTGGATATTAGTAAGCTTAAATGTTACAAGTAATTTCTAATAATAATAATAATATTAATTTTAATTCCATTTTGCTTATTTCCTTCAAATCTTAGGTATTATCAAACCAAATCTATACACACAGTGTGCTCAATTCTTTCAATTTAACTGCCCATATTTATTATCCTAGTCAAGTCTTTCCATTCCTGATGGTAACTTTGTTTTGTCACTTTTTTATCATCAATTAGTAGAAATGCTAACAAAAATTCTTAACTTACAGACAGACTGTTCCATTTCCCTTACAGCTTTGCTTTCAACACGGTTACTGACAGAAGTAACTCTTATAATATAATGTTCTCCAGCTACTAAATTTCGTATTTCACAAGAAGTGGTATTTACAATTCCTGAAATTAAAGAAAAAAAGGTCTTTGCTCAATCAAAACCTTTCAGTAAAGTGCAATCCATAAGATTTTGCTTTCAAATATACCTTTATCCCATAACAAGAAAATGAGCTAAAATAAAATATTTTTAAAACCTGCAAAATAGGGCAAATTTTTTTTCTGAAAAAAGAACATTTTTTTTTCACAAAAAACCTAAAGAGTACAAGACATGAAACTGCTTAAATTACATAATGTATAAATTATTCATCCCACCCACTTCCTTTTTTATGCAGCAATACTCTTATAGTGCTACTTCCTAATACTAATAGGAGTTCTATAGAAAATACAAAAGTAATCTAAGACTCTGATATTAGCCTAAAATCACTGGCTAAAGGAAGAATTGTTTCACAATACTCACCTGTCAGTTACGCTTCGGTTCAAACATTCTTATACTTTTACAACATATATTTTTTAAATATGTAACAAATCCAATCTAATATTCATTTACATGTTACATGAAGCTGGTTCATAACAAACAATACAGTGTTATGAAACAGACAATTTTTTTTAGCAACAAACAAACTTGTATGAATGAGATACTCAATGTAATAATATAACGATAAGATGTTACCCAAGCTCAAAGTCAAGCTCTCTATAAAACCATAATCAATATACATTCATTTATTTGATAGATAAATTATAATTATACTGCAAACTGTACATGGTGTTATAAATTATTTATGCATACCTATTTCTCTCCAAAAACTAGAATCAACTGGTCTGTAACGGACAGTGTAGTGATCAACTAGAGAGTTTGATGGAGCTTTCCATGTCAAAATCATAGTAGAATTATTGGCTTTTACAATTTGCAGTTTTTCTGGTGGCTTAGGATCTAAGAAGTTTCAATTTATATACATGTTATGTAAGATTATAATCATTTCATAAAACAAACAGAAAATTTTTATGTTATGAGATATACATTCTTACCTTAATATTCTTTAAAAGCAAACAAATATAGTAGAACACAGACAAGCTTTACAAGACATTAATATCTTTGTGAAGAGACAAAAAACTTTACACTTATCATTTAATTCTGAAACAATAGGAGCACTTCTATATAATCAACTAACATATTTTAAGATAATAATAAATTGTCAAATGTTCCTTTCAAGTCTTGTATTTTCTGATAGATTCTCTGGTAACTTTTAGTAGTACTTACAAACAGTCTGAAAGTAAGAGTGAGGTTCACTTTTCAGCCCATAACTCAGAGCATAGACTTTAATATTGTATGTAGCACCAGGATACAAGTTGCTCAGAACTAGCCAATGATTACTGGTAGTCTCTTCTTCTTTGTGACCAGTGTCGTTACGACTGTAAACAACTATGTACGAGTCTTGACGACTAGTAACATCAGATTTCCAGGAAACATTAAATCCTGCACTAAGTGGCTCTAGAAGTTCAATTACAGGTGATGCAGGCACTGCAATTAGGAATTAAGAAAAATCAGTTATAATATAATATAAGTAATATAATAATATTATATAATATAATTTTTTTTTCAAAGAATGATCATGGATGTTATGATTTTTACAGAGATAGTATAAACAAGGATAAAAAAATCAAACTAAACTGCATTTTGATAGTTCAATTACAAAATGCTTAAAGCCTAACAAATAGTTAAGATAGAACATGAAACTAATCTAAGTGCTAATAAGAATTCAATCACAAGAAATGCAAAGAGAAATAAAGTTGAATACTGTACATAAGTATTTGTGTACAAATACAAAAACTAAAAACACTGTAATGTTAAAAGTTTCTGATGATGGTGGAGTAGTATTGTTGAAACATTTAGAGTTCTGGTACCATTTTTTCCTAAATTATTGTGCACTTTTAACTTTGTTGTGTTGTCAATTTATTTATATATAATAAATAATATTTACAAAAATAGATAACTCAACAACCAATTAATCTCATATGATGAACATAAAGAAACTAAATTCAAATACATGTCAAACTGTATTAACTCCTTAAACCTAAGCAGATGTTGCCAATGTCTGGGTGAAAATCCCAATTTACACATCAGACAGTGACAGCATCTGATAACATTTATGTCTCTTTGGCTGAAAATTACAATCCATGTTGTTATCCTCCTTTTATACATATACCGGAAGTTCCGTGAAGCATTTTCGTTTCTTTTAAAACTAATTTCAGATCAACAAGTTGTGTTTGAGACCGATGTTTTTAACATTTTCTTGTGAAGTCAAACAATTTGTTTACATCAATTGTAAAACAAAGATGGTGAGTGAAAAGAGGCCACTGAAATGTTGTACTGCTGGGCAAGCAATGAGTCTGCTCAATTAGTCAGATGATGGAGGGAGTGATGACAATAGTGATTCTGATCTTGAATTTGACTTTGTAAGAGACTCTAATGATGAAAGTGACTCAGAACAGTCATTGAGACCAAGCTCTAATGCTTTCCAATCAGCTGATCAGATGGGGGCATCACCCCAACTAGGATCTAGTGGTACAAACAGACCATGAAATTGAGCCCCAACTAGACCTGATCCACCTCCTAAATCTACATGCTCTACCAGAGCCAGAGATAACGATGGGGCTGAGGTAGTTCTGCAAAATATCACCCCAACCAGGATCTAGTGGTACAAACAGACCATGAAATTGAGCCCCAACTAGACCTGATCCACCTCCTAGATCTACATGCTCTACCAGAGCCAGAGATAACGATGGGGCTGAGGTAGATCTGCAAAATAGGTCAGCCACAAGTAATGACTTTGAATTGTTGCCAAAGAATAGACATGATCCTTGTGTACACACTGACAGTAATGATAACTCAATGCCTCTCAAATGTTTTAGAGTTCTGTTTACAGAAGATATACATAACACTCTCATCACTGCCATCAATGAGTACATCAAAGCACAAATTGCAAAGAAAACAGCTACTCAGAGACAGTCGAGGTATTTTAACTGGACTTCCTTTACCCACTATGACCTGCTGAAGTTTCTTGCAAAGACAGCATCAATGGGCATTAACAAACAAACTAGCATTCGAGACCATTTTGCCACACACCATTCTATCACCAAATGTTCAACAAGTGAGGTTTGAGGCTATTTACTCAACAAAGCTTCATGTGGGTACCCCTGATGCTGAAGGGCAAAAACAAAATTAAGAAAATTGAAATTTTATAAAGTATAGTGATAATTATTAGGAAATATTGAAAATAATTCTGGCAGAATGCACAAAACATTATGGGTTTAAGAATTTAAAACCTACAAAGATCTTTTCTTACATAGCATGATTTCTATTACAAGTACATATCACATAAATTCAACCTTGCATTTATGTCTAAACACTTTGTATTTGAAACAGATTTCTTGGTAATAATATATAACTCACTTGTAGCTTGATAAACAAGGCTGACTTCACTATGAACACCTTTACTCACAGCAACAACACTAATAGAGTAATTTCTCCCAGACAGTAGATTGGTCACACGGTACCGCATCTCTTGAATAACTTCAACACTTCCGTCACTATTAAAGGCCTCAAGTTCTTGGTATTTGAGCTATATTATTAGTAAATGATTTAGTAACAAATTGGTAAACTACAAATGATCAGTAAATGAGCAAGAATAAAGTACAAATCTGTTTTCATTACAAAACCCAAAGTAACTTTTGATGTTTAAGGTATAGACTCCAAAAATTAATCAAAGTAGCTTTTTTAGTAGATGCACTAAACTAACAAGAACTACTAGGCTAAACATTAAGGGTAGTTTTAGAGGACATTTAGAAACAATCTAAATCTCACCAAAAATATATTGTTGTAGTGTTCTTTTGTTGGGCTGGTTCATTTACATATTTGTTGAAAATAAGGCCAAGTAATGTTAATTATTATTATTATTATGTCCATATTCATGTACCTTTTCCTCCATCATTTAGTTATGATTTCTCTTGAGTTTGATGTAGATATGCCAGCTTACATTTCATTAGAGTGAATAGAATTATACAATTTTCACAGTTAAACACAAGGTAGCATTAAAGTTTTTGTTGTGATAGCTATAGTACATGGTCATATGTACATCAGTATGTTACTTAATGTTCATAACTTTAAATTTCTGCCTTGTTATCCAGGGAATAACTTTTTGTTCCAAAAATAAGGAGGAGCAGAGCATGATTTCGTTATCTGAGTGAAGACAGAAATATATACTGTTGTATGTACTTGTATCTGATTTTCTACCTATACGATCTTTACAATACACTATATTTTTGTTGTTTAGTAAAACTTTCAAACCTTGAGAAATCAAAATGCAAAAATGACAAATTATGGATACAAGTGTTCTCTATAAAACATTTCTAGCACTGTTTATCAAATGAAACAATTAACAGAAATATTTTATATACTTCTCAGCACTAATTCTAACTTATGACTGAGAAAGGCATCATAAATAAGAATCAAAACAACCAGAACACTTACAAGAAAGGAATCTTGAGTACTGTTATTGTTTACCTCCCATTCTATTACAATTTCTCCAGGTTTTCCTAACATTGTGCTTAATCCTACAACAGGTAATGGCCCTACAGATTAAAATAAATCAAAATTCAATGTTGAATTAAGACATAAAGATAACAAGACAATAACTGGAATTACTTTACACAAAATGTATCAGAAAATAAAAGAAATATAAAATGTAATCTCTCTTGATAAGGCTGTATATATGTATCTACACATAATCATTCAAAAATTCCTTTGGTATTGACCATTGTGATATTCTGTAGGTTTTCAATATTTTGTTAAGTTATTTAAGTTTTTAAATTTCTAAGTATTCTTCTGAAGAAACTTATTGTTATTAAACCATGAAGTAGTATCTAAAGTACGCTAAAGCTAGACAAAACACTGAAGGACTTTGTGATTAGAAACAAATGTATATTAAGAGAACAGAAAATCTTCTGGTTTTTTAAACATTCCTTCAAATTCTAAATCTACTTTATACAGAACAGTATCAGGAATAACACATGCAATACAGTAAAAATGAAAAACTAAATTATCAACTGATTATGCTACTAGTCCATTTATTCATGTATAGAGATTGTTTGAAGATTCCCATATTGACTAACTACAAAAATATAACACTGCAGTATTCTACTCCTTTGGTTCACCCACAAGCTCATTTATTTTGTCATTAACTAATAAGCAACAAACATTCGGTGGAAATAATTAAACTTGATCTTACTTGTGGTGACATTGGTCATAATTGGCCAACTTGCAACTGTACCACTAACAGTCTTCACATCAATTTCATATGTTTTGCCAGGTTCTAATCCATTATCAAATGAAGCCATTCTCTCTTCTTCCTTCTTAACAACATGCCTTATAGCAGTTCTTAAACCCATGGAAATTTGATAGCGATCAAATTCTGACAATGATTTTGGAGGAGACCATAAAACATCAATAGAGTATGGTGTCAGCGTTTTTGAGTCAAATGTCACATTCGTGGGTGGAAGGGGAACTAATAAGAAAATTAATAATATATATATAGATAGATATATACATATAATGTCATTAACAATGTATGCACTACATGATCTTATGATCTGACAGTATTATTTGAAAAGTATATAATGGATTTATAATCAATGTTACTCACATAAAAAATAATTTAACAATTAAATAATTATTATCTAATTATTTTACCAGAAGAATAAAATAAGTTATTACTGACTTGCTTTTTGGGTCTAATTTCTATGTTATGCTAGCTGTAACTTACAAAATCTTTCAAAAATTAAAACTGATATACAACAGTTGCTATTACATTGAACAATCTGAGTGACAGATGTATAAACAAGTTGAATTGTTCATGTGGATGTTTTTATTACATATCATATGTCTACCAAACATTTTAATACGTACCTGTTCGGTACTCAGCCTCTGTTGGGGCACTGATTTCACTTTCACTAACAGTCTGAACTGAGATGTTGTAAGCTCTTCCGGGAACAAGTCCATTAAAAGCTGCCTGTGCTGGCCCAGGTGGCTCACCTTCTTTATCTACATATAACACTGCTTGCACAGCATCATCAGGTTTGATGCTAACACGATACTGATCAAAGATTCCTGATGGATATGGAGGTTGCCAAAGCACCAAAAGAGTGGTTTCATTTCTAAACCATACAATGAACCTTCCAGGCGTACTTGGTTCTGTGAACATAAATTTCTAAATTACCTTCTCAAGTTGATTCACTAGGCCTGGATTTATAATACAAGCCCCCAGTTAATTGCTCATGCAATATATATAAGATTTCTAGATAACAGCTTATATTTTCCTCATTTCAGTTGAAAACTATAAAAGTATATTTTTAGTTTAATATCTTCATTTTGCATTTTACTTTTATAAGCATTTAATTATGCTAAAACCAAATTAACATGTGGCTTGATAATATTTAATAACGGTGAAAATTGAATCAAAAAGGGTTTCATTCTTTGGTGACTTATTAAGTAAAACTTTGTAAGTTTAATTCTCAGGACTTGCATACATTTCTGAAAATCAACAAGGGGTCAAAAGACTTCATCACTATATGTGGCAGATATAATGTGGTCGAAATATTGTTATATATATTTTTCTTTACTTTCAATCATAAGTTCTGCAAATTAAATTAATATAGAAGAAAACTTATAAATGCATAGTAACAGTTTTCACAAAAAAATCTAGACTGCAGGCCTGAACAAATAAATAAAATAAAAAACAAATGACGATAGCAAACATTTTATGGAATAAAAAATATGAACAAGCATGCACAAGTACTGAAAAATGAGAGAAAAAATAGAAAGATGGTCCTGACTTTCATAAGGGTATGATCACTATTCTCTAGGTAATGAAACCCATGACATTTTTTTCCATAGATAAACACACTATATAGTACTATATTAGTATTTTCTCTCTGAAAATTTTGTATACTTGCTTGTTGTAAAGTTGGTAGCAACAAATATTGATGATTCACGATTCTTGAACACAGAATAAAGTTGAATTTCATATGTGCCACCAGGAGTAAGATCTCTTAATCTGAAAGGAGTAGGGTCCTTATCAAGTTGAATGTTGCGTATTCGGGTAGTATCCTGCTCAGACAATGGAATGATAGTCATTTGATAGCCACTATATCCTCCATCTGCTGGTGGAGCCCAGGTGAGGTCGACTATTTTCCCCGAAAAAGGCTTAACAGATAAACTAGTGGGAGGATCTGGTTCTGTAACATTCATGTAATTTCTTTTTTGAGATTATAAAGTTGTCTTTTCAACAAATTCCAAAACTACTACACTATAAATATAATCTGGAGATTTTTACAGAATTATATTTTAATTGAAACTAGAATTGTTATTACTTCAATTTATTTTATCAAAATACATCATTCACTTAAAGTTGACTACACACTGCTTGATTCTACACACATAATAGATATGTTGAACAGCATTTTATTTGCTATATGTAACTGAATAACGTGTGACACATCATTCTTAAATCAATTATTTTATGAATCACTAAATAGGTAAAGATATTTTGGCTCAAGTAGCATACCTGTTGTTATAATAGATGACCATAACAACCAGCTGACAAAAGATGAATTAGTATAATACAAATAAAAGGTATATTCTGTTCCAGGTTGAGCATCACTTATCACAATACCACCAGCTGCTTCTTCAGCAACGAATGTGAAGTTTGTTGCAGGATAACCTCTAGGTGGCAAATAGTTCAATTGAAACAGCCCATCTTGAAACTCTTCTACCTCCCAAGGAAATGCTAGCTCAATTTCTACTGCTATACATAACTAAAGACAAGAACAAGTTTAAAAATGAATATATAAAGCAAAACTACTTATAACTTAATAACACATTTTAATATTTTGCACTCCAAATAAATTTTTTGTCAGAAGAAAGGGAAGTTTATTCTCTATTACACAAGATGATTTTAAAATATTTCAACTGTAAATTATGTCAGATTTATATGTGTAAATTTCTGTATAAGTAGAATTTATGTGATCTTGATTGAAATAAGACAGACCTTGGCTGGAATCAGTAGAAGTAAACATGTACTATCATCTCTTCTACATAGCATATAGTAATGTCACATCTTTGTGTCTTATTTTAGCATTTATTTTATCTTTCTTCAATGTTTATGAATATATATATATATATGGGGTTTTTTTTTCATGCAAATCTACACAATGGGCTACCTTCGCTCTGTCCACTGTGAGAAATCCAACCCCAGATGTTATTGTTGTAAACCTGTAAACTTATTCCTGACCCACCAGAGGGAGAGAGCATATACAGCACATATATGTTACAAAATCAGTGAAAAAACATTCAGAGAAAAATAGTGTTTATAATATTTTTTGTTATCTCACTGATTTTTGCACTTTCATACAACCCAACTCATTTCTCCAACAACTAGAGAGCCCTCATTCTTATTTATTAGCCATGAATGGAAGAAAGGGTTGAGGTTTACTATCATTCTACTACAGACTAATCAATTGTACCAGTATTAACATAACCAGACTTCTGACAGACAGTATTTGTGAAACCAAGTGTTCAACTTCTTAAATTATGATATTTGTTTTATTGTAGACCTAACAGACTATACAAGAGATTAACACATCCAGGCGTCCGATAACTGTGAAATCAGTTGTTCAGTTTATTTAATTAAAAGCTTTGTATCCATACATTTCTTATCTACAAATACTGTTGAAATATATATTTGTTTTATAATTTAGATTTATTTTTGTTGGCTAAAGAGAGATTTGACATCATATAAAGAGCAAGTTGCTCAATGACTAGATTTTCTTTGAAAATTTAAGAAATGATTTGAATGACATAAAACATATTTCACAAGACTAGCAGATTATTTGAATCATGAGTAGAACTGAGTAGAATTTGTTTTGGATTTGAAAAAAGAAGAACTGGGAGAGAAATCAAGGAGCTTAAACCTACAAAAACAATGGGTCATTTTTTCAGATAAGATTAGTATCGTTTTATAGCAAAAGAAGATTGTTGTCTCTTTGTTGCAGATATTGAATTAGTCAGGCATCAGGAAAACTCAGTTCAGCTGAGACCTGATGGAAAATTATGACAGATGACAAAATGTCTATGAAGGAGAGTGAAATAAATGCAAATGATAACTGGATAGAGTAATGCTAACAGGTAGCTGAACATTATGACATTTGCAGAAATGAGAATGATGGAGAGTGAAATAAATGCAAATTATAACTGCATAGAGTAATACTAATAGGTAGCTGAACTGAAGTGGCAAAGAAGAAAAAGAAAAATGAAAAAGTGATGTAAGTGAAGCAACTGTATCAGAAAAGAACAAAAGAAAAATAGCAGACAAAGTGCAATTTGCTGCTCTGATAATTAAAATGAAGATGAAAGACAAATAAATAGGAAAAGTAAATCCTATAAAGTTAGCTATTTGGATTAAAAAATGATATTAGGAATGTAGTTTCCGTCAAACTATAATTATAAACAAACGTACTATCACTGTATCAGTATCATGGTGTTTGCAAAAATATAGAACGTAAAACTAAAAAAGATCAGAAAAATACCTAGTACAATAGTAATTTTCACCTTTCAAACTGGGGCATTTATTTCCCATCTTCCAAGATGTTTTAAATGCCTAGGATTCAGGCATATAACTACAGCTTGTACTGTAAGAGTAAAAGGTGTACTAAGTGTGAGGGAGAGCATGAATTTGGGAAATGTACTGTAATTGTTATAGTAATCACAGTGTGGCCTGTGGAGGGTGTAAATAAAATCTTAAATGGGCACAAACAGAAAGAAAAACAATGAGGATTAAAATCATTGTCAAAGCTATAGCAAAATGTTTAAATACTATTGATATTTCTTGTGACCAACTAAATGTACCATCTAAGCCAGTTATGATGATCTTACACTTGATAATAAGTTTTTATTGTACAATGGAATGCTAAAAGTTTCATTTGTAATTGTTTGTTTGTTTTGGAATTTCGCGCAAAGCTACATGAGGGCTATCTGCGCTAGCCGTCCCTAATTTAGCAGTG